CGGCCCCCGGAGCGCCGTATATCTGCGGAGCGGGCGCGGGACGCCGAGCCGGAGCCGGGTGGACGCCGTCGCGCCGAGGTTAGTGAGAGGCCCCCACGGCCGCCGTCCCTGAGGGGCCGGGCGGACGCGGGCCCCGGTGACCGGTCGGGACCGTGGGCCGGGCCGGGGCCGGGCGGGCTGAGGGTCCAGGCGGCGGGCCGGTGCGGCCCGGGGCTGAGGCGAGTGTGGGACCAGGGGTGGGTCACACGGCTGCGGGGCGCCGCGCGTGGGAGGGGGCCCGGGCCCGGGGGGGACCCGGGGGCGCAGGTGGTCGCAGGCGCTGTCCGGCGGGCGAGTCGGGTGACAGGCGGCGGGCCGACGCCTGTGGGGACGTGGCAGCGGGACAGCCCACGTGGCCGTCTCGCCTGCCGGGCTCGGCCGCGGCCGCGGGGAGGGCCGGCGCCAGGTGCCGGCGAGCGGCGTGGCGCGTGCGGCCGGCGAGCGGGGCTTTCGGGGCGGCGCCAGGTGCGCTCGGGGGCTCCCCGGGCTGCGCCGCCCAGCGCCGGGGGCTCCGGGTGGGGCTCAGCCCCCACGCTCTTAGAGAAGCCGAGGGGCGCGCTGAAAATGTGGGGAGCAGATGGGAGGCGGCGGCCAGGAGCGGGGGGACGACCAGCCCCGCGCGCGGCCCCAGGGCCGCCGTGTAGACCGCAGTCGCGGTGCGGGCCGCGCCGTGGGGCCGTGGCCGCCTTCGCCAGGCCGCTGACGCCCCCCGAGCGCTGTCGCGTCTGCCGCAGTCTCCGGCTTTGCGGACTTCGGTTGTCAGAACAAAGCTCCTGGCTTCCCGCCCGCCTCGTGCGGAGCCGCCGGGAAACGGCCCTGCGTCCGGGGCGGGGAGGTGGGCACAGCGGCCCCGGAGCCGCAGGCACGCGCCCCTTGTCCCACACTGCGGCGGGCCGGCTGCCGGGGGGCGGGCTGCGCGTCGCGGGATGAGCACAGGCGCCCTGGCGGGTCGCGGAGCTCCCGGCCCAGGCGCAGGCGCAGGCTCAGGCTTCCACCTGCCCGATTTGCGCGGATTCTTTTTCTCAGCATCTGAAGGTGCGTAGGTGTCTGAAGACTCTTTAGGGGCAGTTTGATGCGCCTCTTAGACGACGATGTTGGCGTGTGTGTGTGAGTGCGCAGAGCCCTTTGCGCCGTGAGCTCTCTCTCGCGTGAGGGGGTGTGAGAAAGGCCGGGCGTGGTGGTCTTTTCACGAGGAGATGCGCACTCGGGAGCTGAGATGCTGTGACGGGAAGGACCAAGCCCTCAGCCCTCCTGCCGCCCGGTTGCCTGGCTCCCCGAAGCTGGGCAACGCGTCCCCCTCTCGAATGCTCCCCTAAAGCTGGGCAACGCGGCGGTGGAGGCCACACCTCTGGAAAGACCCCATTCCTTGGAAAACAGATGAACATAAACCTATCTCTCTCAGCTGCTTTTTTAAATGTGATGGATCTTTTTAAATAAAAAAACAATGGCGTCATAGCTCTTGAAACCTGCATCTATCAGTAGAGATGCCTTGGAATACCCGGATGAGCCCAGGCTTGGTCTGCTGGCCTCTTCGCTTCTGTATGTGTGCGTCCTAGGGGTCGCACTGAGTCCGTCACCTAATGCCGTGTCTCCCGATGGCCGCCGAGCTCTAGACGACTGCACTTGGGGCCGTGTCTTCAGCGTTTCTGTTAGGATGTCTAATACACACCTAAGGCTCACGTGACTGAAGGTGGAGGTTGGTTTCCCGCACTCTGCACACATCCGTAGGTCTGGGCCTGTCCCGCACGTCCCCACCCCAGGACCTGGCACCACGGCTTGGAGTCATCTTCGCTGGACTCCACACTGACTCCGGGACCTGACCCGCTAGGGCCGCGCTAGGAGCCCAGCTTCCGCTCGCGCTGAGCCACCGTGATTGCCCCTCGACTGCCTGGCAGCTCTCTAACGGTCTGCTGGCTTCCGCCTTGCCCTTCAGCACGCAGCGGCGGAGTGACCCTTGGAAACCTAGATCAGACCGCGACTCTCCCACGCTCCAAACCCCCCAGTGTCTCCCAAGCCCCAGAGTCCTTACCTTGACCGGAAGGCCCTGCTCATGTGGCCTCTGTCACTTCTCCAGCCTCATTTCCAGTCACTCTTTGCTCTGGGCACCTGCTCCAGCCGCACCAACCTTCGTGCTCTCCCTCATGCTGTCCCTCCGACAGCCACGCACCTGCCTGTGCCGGGGCCTCTGCACTGGCAGCTCCTCCCCCAGGTGTTAGCCTCGCTCAGGTGTATCTGCAAGTGTCCCACAGGCGTGCCAGGCCTCTCCAGCTGCAGTGCCGGCCGGCCCCCTTTGCTCTCCGTAGCACATGTCTTGCCACGCTGCCTGGCGTTTTCTCTAACCGTCTGTCTCCCTCACTGTTGTGTCGGCCTGCACGCGGCTGCTTTGCTTGCTGCTGTGTCTCTTATCTCCTAGATAAGCACCTGGCAGACAGTAGGTGCTCATTAAATGTTTGTGGCGTGTATGCATGGCACATGAAAGTTAAACAGTTTTTCTTCTAAAATTGTCTTGTAGTGTGTCTTTGCATATTAAAAGGGAACTTTTAGCAGTAACCTGTTCATATATGTAAGCGAGAAGGGTGCTGCAGGCCCGTCGTCTTTCATTCAGCAGAAAGAGCAGTACTGATAACAGCCTCACCCACGGGCTTTTGCTGCCTACTCTGAATATGGTGCCCTGCTCCTTAAACACATGTATTCACTTGAACCATTTTTCATACTGTCCCACTGGCTGCAGCTGATAAGGGAGGTGCTGTTTGCTTTGATCTGCCCTGACCACTCGAGGCAACGTGGCTGCGTCCTTGGCACTGACCTTCCCTGTCCTTGATGTCTGAGCTAAGCAGTTACAGTGTAGTGCCAATTCTTCACACAGTTTATCCTTTCTTATTTCCTCTGCAGCTGACCTGGTTCAGACCTGCACCAGGTTTGTCATACCTGCAGTTGTCGTTTGACTCGCTTTCCTGCTCCTCTTTGTCCTGCCTGCAACCTGTTTCAGGCCACTGCTCCTTTCTTTCATCCCTGAAGCTCGGGGGCACTGCCTGTGTAGAAACCTGCTGTGGGCTTCCTGTGACTCACTGTGCTGGTCTCAATTCCTCAATTTCTCAGGCTCTTCACAGTTTAGTCCGACCCTCCTTCTGCATAAAACTTCCACTTCCTCACTGCTCTAAGTCCCGCACCTGCCTTCAGGTAGCCACCAGCATGCCTGCTTCCTAGTCTTATCTGTGTGATCTGCTCAGCCCTGGAGGCGCAGCTGTGTGTGCTGCTATGTGAGCTTTCGTTTCTCTGGATTAAGTAGGTTAAGTATTCCCTCATTCCCTTGGTTTCTAGTATTGTGCACTCTAACATTTTGCTGTATTATCACGAACGCTCTTAAAAACGCTGTCTCACCCATGGACTTTTCTGAGTGTATTGCTTGTCCCTTTGGAGCCCAATTCTTAGTAAAGACAATGGACATGTTATCACTTCTCTGTAGAAGTTGCTATTGAAACAAAATGTGTCTTTCATGATTATAGGTGGTCCTATCTTCTCGAGTTCTGTGGTAGCATGAATACAATAGGGTTACTTCCATCATTAGAGATAAAAGGAGAACAGTTGGAATATTAAGCTGTGAGCTGCACCCTCAGGGGAGCTCAGTGGTCAGAGCGATGGCACCGAGGCACCGAGGCAGCGTGTGAGTGGGTTCAGACTGCCTGGGCTCCCGTCCCAGCTCTGCTGACTTGCAGGAATGGCGATGATAGTACTTGTGTCATCCGGTTGTTGACACTGGATGAGACCGTGTGGGTAAGGCACTGAGTGAAGTGCCGGCAGGCATCACCATTAGTGCTGTCTTACAAGTGCCGCAACAGAAAGGCGCAAGATCCCATCTTAACCTCAAGTTCTTTTTTTTTTTTTTTAAGCTGAGCCATCCTGCCATCAATTGGCAGCTCAGTGGCAACTCAGCTCGGGCTGAATCGAACCGGTGACCCTGTTGCTTAGAGCTTGCACTCTTTATTTTTATTTTTTTTTAGCTGAGCCATCCTGCCACCTGTTGGCAGCTCAGCGGCAGCTCAGCTTGGGCCGGACTTGAACCGCTGTTGCTAAGAGCTCAAACCTTTGAGCAAGCTCTTAACCAACTGAGCCACTCGGCTGGCCCAACGTCAAGTTCTTTAATGTACTTTTAGCAGGAAGATTCATCCGGTTTCCAGGTTGGACTTTGACCCGCTATTGATTCTGTTTCTCTTGTAGGTTTGTGGCTGCCACCCTGTTTCCTCAAAGCGTGGCTCGCAGGGCATGATGAACGTCCATGAGCTCCGAGGCAGGCTGTCCAAAGCTGGGCAGGAGCATCTGCTGCAGTTCTGGACGGAGCTGGAGGAAGCCCAGCAGGTGGAGCTCTATGCAGAGCTGGACGCCATGAACTTGGAGGAGCTGAACGTCTTTTTTCAGAAGGCCACTGCAGGGTTTAGCCGGCCTCAGCCAGACAGCGTGGACGCACGCATGGAGCCTGTCCCTCGGGAGGTGCTGGGCAGTGCTACCCGGGACCAAGACCAGCTCCAGGCCTGGGAGAGCGAAGGTACTGAGCTGTGAGCGTTCGTCCTCAGGTTTATGAGGACGCGCTCAATGTTAGTCACTCACCCATGACTCTGTACTGCCTTCCACCAGGGGACCGATCAGGACGTGACGGGGCGTTTGACTGAAACCTCTGCAGTGTCTCCCATTGCTGGTCCCTCCCTTCTCTTTCATCTCTGCTGCCCAATTCAAACCCCTTCTCATGCCTGCCTTAAATTGCCTCTTGTCTTTTTCCTTCTTCAGTTTTCACCTTGCAAGGCCATGTCCTGGGGCTGTGCTGGGCAGGCTCCTCCCCTGGGCACTTGCACCCGCTCTTGAAGCTACACCGGCCACACCTGTTGTTTGATCCATTACCTTGTCTTCAGTGTCCCCAGTCGGGTCCTTTGTTTGTGCTTTTCTTCCATCCCACCTTATAATAAGATTCGTTGTGTTGTCTGCATAGTGGCATTGTAAACCCTTAACGGGCAGCCCATGACCTGCTGGCCGTGTGTGTCACATGGCGTTTAGAACAGGGCTTTGGGGTATAAGTAGGTTGATAATTGTTGAATTGCCCCAGCGCTACTGCTTCTAAAGCATGTCATAACATCTGTCCCCATAACTAATACTAGTGAATGCTTTTGAGAATGGCAGAGTGGCTCAGACGTCGCTTCTCTGGGGAGTGAGGCGCTGTGGCTGTTATCACCCACTGCTGCTCTGTGAGAAAAGGACGACTAAATCCTGCAGGCCTGGCCCCTGGGTGTGTGTATGTGCTCCTGTCAAACCCAGGCCTTGGGTCCTCGACTGGAGAATGGAAAGATTGGACTAACTCTCTCTGTCCTTTTAAAACATTACTTTATTGCAAAAATAATACCGAATAACAGGACTCTCTAGAGCAGTGGTTCTCAACCTTCCTAATGCTGCGACCCCTTAATACAGTTTCTCATGTTGTGGTGACCCCCAACCATAAAATTATTTTCGTTGCTACTCTATAACTGTAATTTTGCTACCGTTATGAATCGTAATGTAAATATCTTTTTGTTTTCTGATGGTCTTAGGCGACCCCTGTGAAAGGGTCGTTCGACCCCCAAAGGGGGTCGCGATCCACAGATTGAGAACCGCTGCTCTAGAGAAACGGCCATGACTTCACCAAATCGGTCCTTGTTTGCCCCCGTGACCACCGAGTACTTGGTTATATACATGTTTGCGTTCATCGATGTGCGGTGATATTGTAGCTACAATCTTAGTGACTATGTTTGTGCCACACCATGGCTGTTTTAGTTTGTCTTCCATTCTTTGGCACCCCCTGTTCCCCTAACCCCCCAAAAAAGAAAGGTAACCACCATTATCAACCTTCTGTACACTGCTTCTTATCTTTCTCTGGGCTTACAGATTTACTGAGTCGCAAACTGTGTTGCAAAGAGCCCTAGGGGTTCCACCCCCAGGCAGCTGTCAGTGTAGGGACAACCCCTTCCTCTCCACACTACAGGAGCAGTTCTGCTCACCCTGCTTTATGTATCTGACCTTTGCATGAGGTTTATTTAAAAGGGGCTGGGGATTAAAATACATTGAAAATAACCAGGTGATCTTCAAGGAGGGCCCTTTTAGCTCTGAGATGCTTGGTAGTGGCGAACCCAGCTTCTCTCATGGAACAGGACTCTGCCATGACACGGTGAGAGGGTGGCTTCCAGGTGGGGCCTTCTGAGCGGGCGGCTCTATTGGTCAGTGACCCCACTGCCTTTGGATTCCGTAATCCTTTCTCCTTCCCTGGGCTTCAGAAAGGCTGCCACTCCAACCCAAAGCACATAGGCCTGTTCTTACTCCCGAGTATCCCAGCTGCCAGCATTCCTCCTTGTGACGTTTTTTTGGGGAAGCCTTAGAATGAACGCCATGGAAACTCATAGCGTTGACCTGGTATCACAGCTCTCAAGGCTTTCTATAACCTGCGTCTTCTTTACGACCTTTATTTGTTGGCATCTGTGGAACTAGTCTACTTTTAGGACTTTTATTTAAACTAAAGACTGCCACTAGTACAACCAGCCACAGTACAAGAAGGTACAAAGCAAACTTCCTTTTGGCTTACTGTCAAGGGAACAGTTTGTGGCTTAAACAGCAGGGGCGGGGAAGGAACCTTTGTGACTGACATTGTATCTGTTTCACTCAGCCAGAAACTCCCATGTGTGCAAACTCCTAACACAGTGAGGTCTTTGCAGTAAGCTATCAAGGGGAGAGATGACCACTGTGAAGGTCAGGGCGCTGCATTTCGGATAGTGGGAGGGTCCTGGCGATTGTACGAAAGGGTGATTATATGCAATAGCATGGACTAGTTTTAAGAAGCTTTCAATAGATGTACACACCCACCTAACTACTGCCCTAATCAAAATATACAACATTTCCATCACCTCACAGAGTCCCCTTGTGTCATTTTGCAGGCAAATCCCCCAACCTCATTCAGCTGAGCTGGGCCTCACACCCAGGTCCTGACCTTGCAGCCTGGCCTAACTAACCATTGTGTGACACGGCTCTCCTAACTGAGGGTTTTTTCTTGACACTTACTGCATGGCGGCTTGCCGAGACTATTCGCATGCTCGCTGACTAATTATTTATTATTGATTAACTTATAGGCTGGAGGTAATTTAATAGCATCACCCTGAAGCCCAGATATCTTCCTTTGTCCTGTCTTTCTCCTGAGTCCGCCACATCTCATAAGTATTCAACTTGTAACACATTTGTAACATCTCTTGGCCTTTGCCTTCCAGTATTATCAGAAAAAAAGGATTCATTCATTAAAGTGTTATTATTTGTTGCTTGATGTTTGGTTGCATTATGTAAATATAATTTTTTAATAATAAAAATGTTTTTATTAACAAGACAGTCCTTTGTGACTGCATGGATTGCTTGTTCCTTATACAGGGGGGTGATCCTGCCACTCCGTGTGTGTATGAGAGTGTGTGTGTGTGTGTGTGTGGGTGTGTGTCTGTGTGTCTGTGCCTGTGTGTGATTTTAAAGTGTTGAATTGTAGAGGTTTTGTGATATCCGTGTTTCCTTTTCTAGGACTTTTCCAGATTTCTCAGAGCAAAGTGGCAGTTCTTCTCCTAGCTGGTGGGCAGGGGACGAGACTCGGCGTTGCCTATCCCAAGGGGATGTATGATGTCGGTTTGCCATCCCATAAGACACTTTTCCAGATTCAAGCAGAGCGCATCCTGAAGCTTCAGCAGTTGGCTGAAAAATATCATGGCAATAAGTGCGTGATTCCATGGTAAGCTACGTCTCCTGTGGGAGTGTCTGCACGTACACTGCTTTAAGATGCTCACAATGCATATACGCTTTACCCGTAAGCAGGCGTGTTTCCTGTCGCTGATTTTCTTGGGAGCTGCAACCTACTGTGTATGTTAGAAGTACCGGTGTTATAGCTGGTAGGCGATCGCACTAGCCTTATGAGCAGCATTTTACATCCCTCTCTGAGGACCTTTGGGAGCTCGTGGGTCCTCTCAGTCCAGGAACTCGTATCCTGAAGTACCAGCTTATCCAGCCCCCACCCTCCCCAAGCTGAAAGCCCCGCTGGCTTCTGTGCTGTGGGCCTGACTTGGCTGTCAGCCAGCTCGCCCGCCGGGTTCTCTCCAAAGCACAAAGATTATGGGAAATGCTGCTCTGCTTTTCAGAAGTTTTTGATTTCACTCTTCAGTGTCTCCCGGAGCAGCTTTGGCATTTAGCATGTGTGAGGTCCCCCAAGTCCCTAATCTTGTCATGTTGGCCCCATGTGACCAGCAAAGATTCTGCAGGTCTCTCTGTCCTTCTGCCTGGTCCAAGCCCAGACTCCCTACTGCTCGCCTGGACCCAAGTCCCAAACGCCCCCAGGACGAGGCAGCCATGTGTCCTCCGCTCCCCTCTGAAGGGGTCTCACTGCCTCGGATTTTAGTTCCAATCTGTGCTGCTCTGTAGCTTTGACACCTTTAAAGTAGGCTTTTTGCAGCTTCCCAGCTTTCCTAGGTCTTCTCCACACAAGTGTTGTCCTGCTCGTGAACTATGTTTTTCCATCTTGATTCCTTTGGCGACTTTGGAGGGACATCTGTGTTCTAAGTGGCCAACATTCAACTTCCAGCCCTGGCCTCCCGCTGTCATCTTGGATTTCCTTCTCTCTCCCCTCACAACTCAGGATTTCTATTTTTTCTTAGGCAGAGAAGTTTAGCCACTTCTTTTGTCATCTTCTAAGTCACACCAAGGTTCAAAATACCCAGGACAGTTTGTTAAACGGACAGCTATCTACTATGGTGGGAAAGTACACCACTTTATTTATTTATTCATCCAGCAGCTGTTGGTTGAGTGTCAGCTTTTAGGTGCTGCCAAATAGACAAAATCCCCATTCACCTGAAGATTATATCCCACGAAGGGCAAGGCTACTGCAGTCACCGATTGTGGTTTTCGGTGGAACTCTTTTCTCCTTTGCCACGCTGGCACGGGTTGGGTTTTTGTGACAACAGAGTGTAGTTGTACTTTTATGATTTTAAATGAAGGGTGAGCAGAGCCCAGATTGCATTTCAAAATTTTAATAAAAACCATGAGATCATTAGAATGTATTGCAGTTACCCTTTTCTTCCTATTTATTTAGAATAGGAATTTTTCATTTAAAACCTACTTTTTACAGAGTTCTCAGATGTTTACTAAGCTGCCTGTAGGCGCCCTTGCAGGAGGCGTGTTCAGTATTGTTCCATAACTTACTCGTGCACTGGGACAGTGGAGGTCGCAGAAGAACCGCCCCTCTGGTAGCAGCTAGTAATGCCTGTTCCCGGAAAGGGTGAAGGAAGCCAGCTGCTCGTGAAGTCTCCCGCTTAGGGAATAGGCATAGCATTTTTTGCCCTAATTCACGCAGCGCGGTTGCTTAGGAGGTGTACTTTTCTCTTGCAAGGTACATAATGACCAGCGGCAGAACAATGGGATCTACAGAGGAGTTCTTCACCAAGCACAAGTACTTCGGTTTAAGAAAAGAGAATGTAATCTTTTTCCAGCAGGGAATGCTACCAGCCATGACTTTCGATGGGAAGGTTATTCTGGAGGAGAAGCACAAGGTTTCTATGGCTCCAGGTTGGTGACTTGCTGTTGGTGGTGACCAGATGGGGCAGTAATGTCAATCATTAAATTTTGATTTTAATGTGGTGGTTTGGATATTACAAAATTAATATTAGATTTTTTTTTTTTTGCAATTTGGTGGTGATTTTTAAAAATGAAAATGCCCATGGGTGACATGGACTTGCGTTTATCCCTTTGTGGATGTGTGGCCTGGAGACGAGTTGGAGCGGCACTCATAGTACCTATTCTCTCTGCCCAGTATTTTATATCCAGCAGTACCCATGGCTGCATTGTTTATTGCAGAGAAAAAGGCCAATTAGCGTTCATCTATAGCATTACTTCTTAAATAGTGTTGGAATCATTGTTTGGAGGCATCGGATGACAAAGAGAAATCATTTCAGTAGGTTAGGTAAGAGAGCGAGAAGCACGCACTGCACATGTGGTGCCTTCAGGACCAATGATCTGCACATGCCAGGCGTGCGTGCCCGTGTGCACACTGCCGGTCCTGATCGGGCTGTGGGCGCCTGTGTGGCCACACACGGTGACCCTGCGTGTGGTCCCAACTCTGAGGATCAGCGGGTGGATAGATTCAGATGTCACCACTTGGAGTCACCACTTTGAGGAAAGGCTGCATGGAATGACCTACGGCACTAACAGTGGTGCTTTCCAGATGCAGGCATTTAGTTCATCTTAATTCTTTTTCTTTTACTTAGTTCTTTTGAATTAATGGAAGAATTCACTCTTTTTAGCTCTATTTTGTGAAGTTGTCTGATTTTCTGTCATTGTTTAACCTGTGGCTGAGATTGTGATTGGTACAGAGTGCTCATGTGTCTTTGTAGTTGAGATGGGAGAAACTGGCAGCATTAGGGCTGGAATGCAAAGCCAGCGTGAGTCATATAGGTGTTAATAAGACTTGGGGTGTGTGAAATAACCATTGCATGATAAATAATTGTATATTCCACAATATGCTGCAGGGTAAATTGTGACAAGGGCAGAGTTCAGAAGGAAAGTACAGGCTTGGGGCTGGCTTGCCCTGCAGTCCTAAGGCGTTGTCTGGATTCTTAGTTAAGTTCCCTCCAGAGTCATGCAGTATGATGTTCCGACACTGGAACCTTTCCTACGGGATGTCCTGTGTCTGTGGCCCACGCAGAGCGGCCTGTGGGTTCATGCCATGTGGGTCCTGGTGTGCTACTTACTAAGGGGCTGTTTGACTTGCAGATGGGAACGGCGGACTGTATCGGGCCCTGGCTGCCCAGAACATTGTGCAGGACATGGAGCGCAGGGGCGTGGGGAGCGTCCACGTCTACTGCGTGGACAACATCCTGGTGCGCGTGGCAGACCCCCGCTTCATCGGCTTCTGCATTCAGAAAGGAGCGGACTGTGGGGCTAAGGTGAGGCCTTTCCTGTGACGCTGTGGCCCCCTGTGGTTTTCTCTGTCAGGACGTGCACCCAGCAGGCAGACTGGCTGTACTCACCCCTCTTCACTCATCCTCAAAGTTACTCAACTAACTAGCCCACACGCACTCTTCTCCTTAAATTGAACATTTGATTCTGGAAGGAATGTGTGCTCGTCCATCACAAGTCAGTCTAAAAGACGTGAGGGTGACGTGTAAGCCCCTGGGAAAGGGACGGCCAGCACTAGGCCTGGGGTGGGTCCATTCACCTGAGCCGCATTTGACCCAAGCCCCCACTTTCTTCCTCTGACGGAGTTACCGGAGTAGTAAGTACGGGAAATATGGCAGAAATAGCACATTTAGATTTCAGCAAAGGATTGGACAAGGTGCCGTATGATAGTCTCTTGAGTGAGATAGAAATAGGCAGATTGGGGATAAGGGCGGTGGGGGAGACTGATAGTCGCTTGAAGGACCACAAACATACTGAAGTTAATTAAGAAGGAGGGAGGTTTGCGATGCCGTATGTTCGTGGCATCGTTCCTTTCAGCCTTATTTTGGTTGTGTATGTGATGACAGAGGAGACGTGCCTTTCTGGTAATGAACAAAACATCTAATATATCTAGGAATCTAATAGACAGCAAATGTGAAAGACCCTGAAAACACATTGGAAGGTTTTAAAATATTAATACAAATATTACTTTCATGGAAATCTATAAAGGTATCACTTCTCACCAAATTAAGGGATAGCACAATCCTGATCAAAGTCCCAAATGAGACTATTTTGGGACATTTGGGGACAAAATGATTGTACAGTTTAGAGTAAACATGTGAAGATGGCCAGGAAAATGTTGAAAAAGATGATAAGCAGGGAAGAGGGTTGGAAACAATCTATCAGATGTTAAAATGGATTGTAAATGAAAAGTAACTAGGAGTGTAGTGTTGAAACTAGGATTGAATGACAGATTAATGGGACAAAATAGATGAGTCAGAAACCAGTCCATGTGTGTATAAGAATGCACTGTGTAAGCACATGGTGTTTGTTTCAAGTCAGTGGGGGAAGTGAATGAGATAACAAGCTAAAAATAAAGTAAGATCTCTCTTTCAAAACTCATTCCAAAATCAATTTCAAATAGATTTTGAAAAAAAAGTTAAATATAAAAAAATCCACTGGGTGCTAGAAGAAAGTGTAGAATAATTTTGTAATATCGACATGAAGGGAAGACCTTCCTGCCAAAAGCGAAAACCATATAAGCAGCTGACAAAATAGAAGTCAGACTACGTATAAATTTGAAATATCTGGATTGAAAAAGAAGACCTGCCCTAACAGACATGCCATATCCTTGGTTGGAGGTTTTCTATTACAAAAATGTCATTTCTCTCAAAATCTATCTATAAATCTGCTGCAAAGTCATAGACAGAAGCTGCAGCCTGAAATTCACCAGTATGAGGTTTGAGAGAGTCAGCTGGTAGAAGGGCTGGGACTCCTCCTTAGATGGAAATGGAAGAGTTAGTTTAGTTCGTGTGTTAAAGACTCTGTGTGTCCCAGTCTCTGAGTTTCTGTCCTGTAAACAGATACAGTGGAGACACGGATTAAACTGTAAGTAGCTACTAAGCTCTAAAAAACAAACAAAACAGTGTCTTTCTGACTTCATTCCATTTGATGTCACCCTTTTGTCTAAAACAGAAACTGAAATGTCACTGTTCTGACTTCAGAACCATTTTAAGTTCTCTGTGATCAGAGAACGTGGAACCTGAAGGTGCTTGGAGACTGTCTGGCCCCTTTGGTCTCAGACCTGAGCCCCCCGAGCCCCAGGACTAAGTCAGTTCCCGGCTCGAGGCCCTTCATCACATTGTGAGCCAGGATTAGGATTCACATTTCCAACGTGTAGTTTCAGAACCATCACATTGTAAAACCAGGCTCTACAGTAATTACGTTTTTGCTGGTAGCTCAGAAACTTTAGATTGGCGTGCCAACTCTTCTGAGTGTACTTACCGTGCAGAGATGCACGTGTAACCAGGCCCCCTTCCCCACGGCCCGTGGGGCCTCCAGGACAAGCCGGCCTTTCGTCCTGCCTGGTTCTGTCTGGCACAAAACGCAGCAGTCATCAATGATGAATAAATAAATATTCAGGAGGAACCGACATGTGACCAGACTGGTGTTTGTTAGAACTCCCAGAAATGTCAGGAACCATTGATGAAATCTGTCCTCCCACCCTTTTTATTTTAACAAAATCAAGGTATTAAAATATATTTTTAAAAGCACCTATGTTTGGGAGTGATTCATAGTGTGGTGGTGGAATTCTTTGCAGTGCTTATTAGAATAGGCTCCTGTCTTGGTGAATTAGGTTTTTAATGGAGTGAGAGCCTTGAGAAAAGACCAAAGCATGCAGAGGTTTGCAGAGGACAGAGCTGAACAGGGCAGGAACCACTGCGAGTTAGAGGTCATTTCATAGGCAGTTACAGTAAGCTGGAGGGTAAGGTTTTACTTCCAATGCAGCTTTCAGGATTTTACTTGTGGATCCTTGAGGAAACCCCTTACTCTGCTGTCTCTTTTCTGTGTAATATAAATGGACCTCCAAGCTTACGCAGTTTACAGATGCTTTCTTTTGTCATCTAGACTTTTATAATATTTGGAGGTTAATAGTTGTCACAGAAGTAAACCCTCCCCAGCAGATTGACACTTGGCAGATGTACAATGTGAATGTGCTTATTTTTATTTTCCATGGCTGATCGGGGATAGGGTATACGAGTATAGAGGTAACTGGACAATAAACCCTGTGTGTGTGTTTGCTTTGTGAAAAATTGGGGATGAGAGGAATTGATTCCGAATTCCCTGTGTCATAGACACCCACGGTAGAGTCCAAAGAGACAGTGGCTGGTGGATAGCTCGCCGAGAACTGCAGAGGCCCACGCTGGTTTAAACCGTGTGGCTGTGGTCTGTTTCCCTCCAGGTTAATCCCTCTCCTTGGGAGGAAGTTTCTTTTCATTGAATACTGGGCTCCTTTCAGGTGGCACACAGTGAAAGCAGAGCAGGCTCACGGAGCCGCAGCGCCCCTGCCTGGGCTGGCCCGCGGGCCATGTCCACGAGGCTCCCCGTGGCGGCTTCTGCTGTCAGCAGGACTGCTGCTGGCTGGGCTGGTTTTAAGTGATCAGTTGCTGAAGAAAGTTCTAACTTTATGGATACTATTTCATGCACATTTAAGATAGACTTTTCACACTGGGCACAGATTTTTTCAAATCTTGGAAGCATACTGAGCTGTTCATTGAACAGGGCAAACAAGACAATATCTTCAGACACTTCTTGTTTGACTCTCTGTTGGATATCGTCCCCTCTGATCCCTGACCAGCTATTGCTGCGTTGCACAAGCTCTTCCACAGTTTCTTCTAAACAGTGGAAGTGAGTTGTGTGGGGCTGGGGGCAGGGTAGCAGAGAACTGGTGAGGTTTTTAAAAACTTGAATGCTCTTTCGTTTTCCCTCTGGTTTTGATCCACCTTTCTCTTGGCCCCCACCTGCCCAGACCCGTTGATAGATGATCAGATCACTGGTTTTCAAACTTTTTAAAGCACAGGCTCTGTACCTTCACACAAGACCTAGCGTGCAAACCAGATAAATATGGGGGTGGGGGGACCTTTTCTGCCTGACGGTGGAGTGGGAGCCCAATGACCCGCCTGCTCTGTCCTCTGACTCCATCCCGTCCCTGAAAAACAAGAGATGTGCTGTATCCGTGAGTGAAGAATGACAGAAACATCCTTTTCAATGAAATAATGGTTTGGGCAGTAGAAAGTGAGAGGCGAATGCCTTACATTTTTGTCTTTGAATCCCAGAGAAATTTCATTTCCTTTATTCAGGAAGTAGTGGAGTGTGGTTAAGGATACATTCAATAATCAAACAGGAGGCCTCTGAGGGATGCGGACGCCTCATCTAACTGTTCCCTGTCCAGAGGCGACACCTTTGGGCTCCCTGTCTGATGGACTTTCCACCCCAGGTGCAGTCAGGTGATAAACAGGAAGGAGGAGACTTACCTCATCCCCAGTCGGAAAGTTGTATTTCGCGAGTGTGAGGACGGATGGGCGGATGTCTGACATTAGACGGCTCTTGACTCTATGCCTTAGAGCAGTGCCAGCATGGCTGTGGCTGTGGCCGTGGCGGTGCCGATGGCCAGTGCAGCGCTTGTTCTCCTCACTGCCCCTCCCGTGTGTCTGGCGGCAGGTGGTGGAGAAGACGAACCCGACGGAGCCGGTGGGTGTGGTGTGCCGCGTGGACGGGGTGTACCAGGTGGTTGAGTACAGCGAGATTGCCTTGGCCACGGCGCAGAGGCGTGGCCCCGACGGCCGGCTGCTGTTCAGCGCCGGCAACATCGCCAACCACTTCTTCACCGTGCCGTTCCTGCGAGACGTGGTCAGGTACGGGGACGGGCTAAGGGTGTCTCCTCACTGTCAGGCGGAGTCAGCCAGTCATGCAGAATTCCCTTCTGCCCCGAGGTCATCTTCACCACATGGCAGCGTTTTGGTGGCAGTGCTTAGTGAGCGGCATCACCGGACAGGTTCGTGGGTCCCGTCCCCAGTTGCGGGCTGGGGTGCACAGCGTGCCCCTTTCCTGGCCTCCCCTCCCGGCAGCTGTGCTGGGTCTGCCGAGGCAAAGCTCACCGGTGAAACTCCCTCCCTGCTGCAGCTGGAAACATAGGCACAGATGTGCCCCCCGCTGCACAGTCCGAGCTTAAGGAGGCCGCTGTTGGCCGCCTGCAGTGTAGAGGAGCTGCTTACACAGTGTAACTCAGTGGTTCCCAGACGCACCTCCAGGAAGAGTGCGTCAGAGTGAAGAGAAGGAACCGGAGAGAGAGCTGGGTGGGATCCAGCAGGGCAGCGCCCCGAGGGAAAGCAAGCTGTTTTACCCCACGCGTTGTGACCTGGAGGACAGCCTCACGGTCTGGCTCTGCCCCCGACAGCTGCTGGGCTTTGAGGTGGCTGTTTCCACAGTCACTCAGCTTCACTGTAGAAAGCGACTCCAGCCCCCAAGTACTTCCCGTCCACGTTGCTGTTTGCAGCTGTATCCATCCTTCCGCAGTAACTAGTAATCGTCATCTTTTCACCTCAGACGTACAGGGGCCTCGGCTGGGAATGTTGGGCAAAGAGTAGAATGTTCTGTACAGGACATGGAGTTCTGGGCGAGCCACTGGTGTGAGCTGTATGCGTGTGCTTTAATGAGGACATCTTTACTTGATTGTTTAATATAAGGAAATGAACAGGGGAATCTGCCTGTCGGCTGTTAGATCTGACCCGAAACAAGCCCAACACTCTTCGCTTTAAGGACTGGGACCTGAGTCCTGCTTGTGCAGCGTCGGCTCCTGGGGTTTCTGTTTGGAAGCTAACTCTCTCTCGCTGTCTTGCTCTCACTCAGGGTGCATGAGCCCCAGTTACTGCACCACGTGGCTCAGAAGAAGATCCCGTGTGTGGGTCCCCAGGGGCAGCGGGTCAAGCCGGACAAGCCGAACGGGATAAAGATGGAGAAGTTTGTCTTTGACATCTTCCAGTTTGCCAAGTATGTCCCTCACCATACCTGTGATGCTGTTTTTCACCCGCAGGCAGTACCGCACGTGCCGGCGAGCGTCCGGCCCGAGCCATTACCACTGGGCCATGCGGAGCCTCCAAGGACGCTTCTGCATGCCCGTCAGCTCACTGGTCAGCTCTCTTTAAGCTGTTGTCACTTACTTGGGCTGAGTGACTAGGAATGTTAGGTGGGCTGGCCCACGTGTGTGGGTGCCTTACAGACCTGTGAGGAAGGGTTTCAGGGAACCTGTGTTTACATTACACTGCTGTCTGTGGAAGGGCACACTTGATATTGAGATGTGTGTATCAGAATTTGACCAGCATTAAAACGCAGAAGATAAACCAGCTGTCGAAGATTAATATTCCCATATGGATTTCTAAATCGTCTTTTTTTTTTTCCAGAACAGATGCTAGTGTGATCTTTTGCATTAAGGTTTTTGGTCTTTCTGACCTAAGAAAGTGTCCTAGAGTTGGGGGGGACGTGCTCTCTCACTTGCATGGTGAGGAACTCCGACTCTGTACAGCATTCCCTCTCTCTTGTCCATTTCGGGGGGCTGAAGGAGCCTGCCGCTGCAGAGCCAGGGCTTAGCTGTGGAGCAGGAGACGTGGGTGCAGTCTCATGTCATAATCAGCGTCTGTCCTGTTCTGCTCTAGGAAGTTTGTGGTGTACGAAGTGCTACGGGAAGATGAGTTCTCCCCGCTGAAGAATGCGGACAGCCAGAGCGGCAAGGACAACCCCACGACCGCCAGGCACGCGCTCATGTCCCTGCACCACTGCTGGGTGCTCAACGCGGGCGGCCACTTCATCGACGAAAACGGCTCTCGCCTCCCAGCCATTCCCCGGTAAGCCCGCAGCTCCCTCTGCCCTCTGCTGTATTCCTGGGTGGTTTTCACAAAGTTGAGCACTGACGTGGGCGGTTCCTGACGTGAACTCGTGACAGCCTTGCCGTTGCAAGGAGAGCCGTGGCTTCACCTCCTCGTAAACAGGAGGCTCTGAAATCTCTTGGTTTTCGGCTCCATCTCCACAGAGTCAGTCAAATGGCTCGTCCTGAGTGATGGTCAGAGGGCATTCTTTTGGAGTGCCGTGTGGTTTGAGCCTGCCAGCCGCACACTGCGCCACAGGGCGGGAGCTTGGTTGACACTGCCCGTGTCTGTGGCCTCACCGTAAGTGCCGCCTGTTAGACCCCAAGTCCCCGCCACCTGCAAGCTATCTACTAGACACAGCATCACTGAGGGGGGTACCAGGAAGGGTGGGAATGCTATGCACACCCCCCGATACTCACACTTCAGAAATGTACTTGGAATTTACAGGTTCAAAAAAGAGGGTACTTACAGCTATTTAAATCTGAGATAAAGCACTTTGAACTAAACCTTAGATTTTGTGATAAAACCTTCACTGGCACCTAGAACTCCCCTGTCTGAATCATTTGATGTTTCTGTACTTGAGTGAAAAACACTCTGCTGAGGGATAGGATGGCTGGCTGGAGAAAATGCACGGAAGCACCCAGAGCCCTGCTGAGAGTTAGAACCCAGGCCCTTGGGCTTCCTGGCCTGCACTGTGTTTTTACAGCAGGAGCAGCGGTAAGCTGACTCGCCATCCAGGGCACTTCCAGGCCCTGCCGTGTCGGCACGCTTGCTTGGTGGCATGTCAGTGTCCTCATGCTTCATCTTTTTGGCCATTGAGTTTGTTTGTTTGTTTTGACCCCTCAGATCTTTGCCAGTTTATAATTTTCCATAAATACATGCCTTTCAGTCACATATATTTTGCAGTTTCACTTCATTGTTACTGTTTGGTTTGTTTCCATTCCCATTAATGCTTATTTATTCCTACATAGCAGTGCTGCAAATGGAAAGTCAGAGACCATCACAGCTGATGTCAATTACAAGTAAATATCCCAGCTGCCTGCCATGCATGGTGACGGGCTGTGCTTCCCTCTACTAACTGGCCTGTAGCCTAGTGCTCTGCCTTTTGGTGGTCTGGGGGCGGATATGTGAAGCTTTGGTGGGGGCACACTGCTTACTTGGTGGCAGGTATCTGTCTGGATGACACTAACTCAGCATCTCTGTGCATGCTGGAAACGGGAACATGCTTACTAAGAACCCGACCACAGGGCTCTGAGCCTGCGGCGACAGGCAAGGGACAGGTAAGACCTCCAGCAGGTCACCGGCAGGAAGCAAAGTGGATCCTTGGGATCCCTGGTCACCCCTCAGCACAGAGGTCGCGTTCTGCAGGTGTGTCTTACTGGATCGGGTGTGTGCTCCCAGTGGGAAGGCTCGGAATATGATGGGAACTGTGCTTTTGGGTATTCTCATGCTCGCAGTCCTCCTGTTGGTCTCTGGGTGTTATTTTCGTCAGCTCTCCTGCTCCTAAAGAGAATATCTTTTGTCTTAACGGCAGATCGTTTTTAGTGGGAAGTAGCATGTGCCCTCTCGTCTGGGTATGGACAGAGTCTGAAGAAGCCATCAATTTGATGGCTAAAGAGACAGCTTCCTACTTTTGTTACAGTTGAAAAGTTGTTGGGTTTAGCGTGAATTCTAAGTTTCAGATAACTGGGGACATGTGCACGGGGTAAAGGGGCTGGAGACGGGAGTTGCCGCAGGAAGGCTGTTTCATCTGTGTGTTTTCCTGTGCCATTCATCTCTGCTCTGTGAACACAGCTCCCCGTGATGTCAGTGGTTCTGGGATGTGGCCCTGGATGACAGGAAGGGGACTCACAGATCTGCTGGTTTCATCCAGGGGCCATAGACGACCGTTGCCCCTCATGCCATGAGGACTGGGCTGCAGACCCACCCGTTGTCACTTTCTGTCCCTTTCATCATTTTGAATATGTGGACGCAAGCTGCTTTTATGATTTAAGACATAAAAATTTGACCCTAGATTTCCTTCTCATTGAATCACAGTTTGTAACCTAAAAAGTGAAAGTTTCTTAAATATACACCTGAAAACAACCTCCAGCTATCTCAGTCAAGATACAGAAGTTTTAAACAGTTCTTACTGAAGTTTTTTAGTGCTTTTCTCCCCACTTACTTCATTTTAGCCATTTGTAGAATAATTAAACTGAAATCAGAGTTTGTCCCCACATGGGATCATGGACTTAGAAATAGTTTCTGCTGAAATCCTAAAGGACGCCCTCGGAAAGTGGAGACGTTACTAGAAGTGAGAAGTGAAAAGGAGGGAAGAGATGGCTTGGGGATACCCTGAAAGAATGGACGCAAGATGCTGAGTTTTGACAAAACGACCGTACTTTCATTTTTCACCTCCTGAACAGTATCAGCTGCCAGGAGTAAGCCAGGCTGAAGCCCTGGGCAGTGGTGGCGTCCGGACAACTTGCCTGCTCCTGACATTCAACGTCTGGTGACGGGAGTGCCTGTCCTTCCTTCTCCAGGGACCTGGCGTTTTTCCTTAAAGCCAACTGTCCTCGTTTCTTGGGGTATCTTGGTGGTGTTCAGGCCAGCTGTGTGTTCCTGGGTTCAAAACCACCTCTGATCCTGGTGCCCCAAATCGCCCAGGGCTCCCGGTGGGGTGGGCTCTGTACCATCTTCGCAGTGGAGTGGACTTCATTTCCCATTGGGCCTAATATGACTCTGACCCTCCCTAGGGCATCTGGACCAGGTCTCTTGAGCTCTGCTGATAGAACCTGACACACCTGGGGAGATGTGTGCCCGTCTTTTAATGCATCTTTTCTCTGCCTCGGTCTGTCATACGTCCCCCCTCACAGACCTGTAGGCGCTGTTAGTGTGCCAGGTGCTGACACAGCTTCCACAGGACAAACAAGTCATTTCTTACAGCCTGCTGGGGGTTCACAGTGCCCGTCACATAACCAGGCAGTGTGTGGTATAAATAATGATCACCCGAAGAGGCACTGGCTCAGCAAATGTCTGATCCATTTGTTACTTTTTGCATCGTACATGCATGAAGGCACTGACTGTGAGCTAGTGGTCACTGCAAGGTTGGGGCTTGAGCGAAACCTTAGAGGATGGGTATGATTTGGGCATCAAGGGGACCACATTGTAGTAGGAGTTGGAATGAACAGAGAGAGTGACTGGTCCGGTTTTGAGTGGGAAGTGGCCGAATAAGTCACTTGGCGTAGGCCATGCACAGAGCACCTTGAGAGCTGCCGAATGGTTCTGTTTAGAGGAAGGCTAGACATGGCTGAACTCAGGAGCCCCTGGCTTTACTGAGTCTGCTGTTGCTTCTGGCTTAGCAAAGGGGAGCTGTGGTTCAAGGCTGTGAGAGACTGAGGTTTTGCGTGCCCGTGTCCTGTTGGTAAACTTGTCGAAATGTGAAAGGCGCAGAGGCCTAAGGACTTTAAACATGTTTTGAAGACTCTTTGTTGATTGTTGTGTTAGGTCCTTTAGAAGCTCAGATTGTAGGAGGCTAAAACGTTGGTCATGACCTAACAGAAGCCATGCAGACTGCCTTGCCTGGGCATGGGTGCGTCCGCCTGAGCTCTTTAAAGGGACCTGGTGAGAGTGACAGGAGCACTTGGAAACACTGAGCAAATCTGCTAATCTTGGAAACTTGAGGGTACAGAAAAACATGTCTGGGAAGTAACCAACCTTGAGAACGGCACTGTCCAGTAGAACTTTCTGTAGTGAAGGAAACGTTTATCTGTGCTGTCCAGATGGGTGGTCATTAGCCATTTGTGGCTACAGAGCCCTGGAAATGTGGTTATTATGATTGGTGAACTGAGTTTTATAATTATAACTAATTTTAAAATTGTAATTAATTTAAGCCTAAGCTGCCACTCGTGGCCAGGGGCTCCCGTGTTGGGCGCTGCAGCTTCTGCGTGTCTGTCAGCAGCAGCGCCTCGCTGTCAGGGCTGCAGCGAAGATCAAAACGAAATGTGGAGGATTCAAAGCACCTTGCCACATGCCTGGACGTAGTGTATATTCAGTAAGCGGTCCCTCCTTTTATCACACTGAAACTTGGAAATGACCAAAGTATGATATCCATTAGTGGTAAGTGCATCAGTGGTGGCGAAGTGCTGACTCGTGGCACCTGCCCCAGGTAGTGTCTTTCTGACCGAGTCAAGTTCACGGTAACTTAATCCTCAGGAGTCAGTGATCGATGGCTAGGGCCCTCTGAGCAGGAGCACTTTGTGGTCAGCAGGCTTCGTGGAGGGGAGCGGTGCTCTGTGCTGTCATTGTGCCAAGTGACATGGGGAGCAGAGAGTCCTTAACGTGTGTGATTTTCCCTTAGCTTGAAGGACGCCAACGATGCACCGATCCAGTGTGAAATCTCCCCCCTCGTCTCCTATGCCGGAGAAGTGAGTTCACTTTGCTTTCCTGCTTTCTAACAGCGAGTTCTGGTATTGTTAAAGCTGCACTTAGAGGAGACGGGGGACTTCCGATGGCCCGGCCTGAGGAGCGCTTCTGGGGGACCAGCCCTCTGGGGGGCCAGCCCAGAAGCTGCACCTGCCCGGAATCTTTTTCCTGAGAATTGCTGTCACGGCTTTGCATCTGTCCCAGAAGTGGGTGACTTGGCACGAACACAATCATTACTGTTTAGTGCTTTTCACCTGTACATTGAAATGTGATGGGCTTTTAAAAAATGCAAAACAGCCTGGTTTTTTTTAGATAAACCATCTGAGTCTTTTTAGTGCAATATAATTTTCCTCTCAAAGAGTCTGTTTTGTTCATAGAGTTAGTGCTCGCACTTTTAAGGCCCAGGGAATGAGGGGTCCCCACTCTTTTAATATGTGATCTTTTTTCTGGAGGTCGCTGTCAGCATGCTCAGTTCTAGTGGCAAAGACAGCCCCACTTAGATAGCTAACTGTACTTGGCGATGATAATTTTAGGAAGAATTACGTTATCAGAATAGTTTTACTATTTTTATTGTTTGTTTTATGCTATCAGAAATAGCCCAGTTTAGAATAAATAGATTTCTGTTGACTGAAATTCTGCATCTGAACGTGACTTCTGGCATCCGTGCTATAAATCAGTGTTCCCGCCCCTGAGTCCAGCTATGTGTGGCTCGTGCTCGCTAGTTGTCTAATGGTGTTCCATCTCACCCCTTCTCTTAGGGAATAGAAAGTTACGTGGCAGGTAAAGAATTCCACGCACCTTTAATCATTGACGAGAATGGAGTCCATGAGCTGGTGAAGAACGGCCTATGAGCCCGACACGAGCTCCACGTCATGAAGATAGCTCTGCTTTCGCCACACCGCCCACCTGTGAGCCTCCAGGACGCCTCCTGGAGCAGCGCTGGATACCCACAGGCTCCGATTGCTTGTTGAACTCTCGTAATGACCACGTCCCCCAAGATCCAGGTGACAGGACTTCAGAAAGCATTTTTATGGTTCTCAACGCATTGAAGGTCTTATTTATATTTTTCAATTATATAATTGTTTTCCGAGCCAGCGAAAACAGTGGCCGTCCAGGAAGTTCCTACAGCTGGGGTACAGCCGGGTGTGCACCACCCCTGTGCTCAGAGCTGGAAGCAGCCCTTCACAGAGTTGTACATAGTAATCACATGCCGTTGTGCATATTGGAAGGTTTCTATGGTACTAGAAGTTTGTTTTATTTTATCAAAAAGTAAACTTTTTCAAGAAAATAATTGGAAGTAAAATAAACTTCTTGTCTCTGGAGTGTCATTTGTACCTTGAGGAATTTATTCCATTGGGAAAATATGAAACTTGGGAAAAACTTTGAGATGATGCAAAAAAAACCAAATCGACCCTTCTGGGTAATTGCAAAGTCAACGAGATTTTCAATGAATCTTTAACTTTGGACTTTACTCTCCTGTCACTTTATAACAGTGGCTCTCCACCAGAGATGGATTTGCCCCCCTCTGCAAACGGCCAGTCTGGAGACCTGGTTGTCACAGCTGAGAGGGTGGCATGTGAGTGCAGCATCTCAGGACTGGAGCAGGGTTCTGCCCACACCCGCCCGCATGCAGGAAGCCGCTGCGCAGGGGCCTGGCTCTCAGTGAGGGACCCCGCTCCTTACCATGGGGTGTCCTCTTCTGCCCCAATATTTGTGACACCTAGGGACTCAAAGAATAGAGTTTCTGCATTTTCCCAGGCAAGTTTATCACTGTTGTTCCAGGTTTGTCTGTCTGTCTGTCTGTTTTCAGCTAGAAGATTAAAGAAAGAGACTAAGGGTTTTTTTTTTTTTTTTTACACGTGGCCATTAGTTAGGGTTCTCTGTCTAAATGTAGTTTATGTGAAAATACTGAGCTTTATAAATACATAGCATATAGCATTTAAGTATTGACCAAAAGCATATAAAATTAGCATCTGGACAAATGAAAATTCCAAAAATTATGTCTAGAAAAGAGTAATACATTTTATTTTCCACTGACAAGTTGTCACAGGATGGAATGCCATGGGTGGGTCTTTTGTTCTGTAGAAGTAAAGCGTTTAAAGATCAGTTTTTTTAAAGATCGGATGATATTGATGTCTGCATTTATTTTTGTGCTAAGGCCTAAACAATGTGTTTAGCATATTTTCTGTTTTATTTCAATAACAGCCCAATTTTGCTATTGTTATCCATCGCATTTCTCAGAAAGATTTGTGAGGTTTGCATTCTCCGTCTGAACCAGCTCACCCGGTGTGAGGACAGACACGCAGCAATTCACACCTGAAGGGTATGCTTCCTGGACCTTCGTCCACTGTCCCCCCTCTCCCCCCGTCACTTAGACGACACCAGTAATGGCAGGGAAGGGGCTGGTGCAGCACTGATGGGAGAGGGCCGAGGTGGGACATGGGTGCCATCGGCTGTGGAAGTGTGGTGACAGCTTTGTGCTCCCTCACGAGCCCTTAATAAATAACTGCTCTATTCAGAAAATACAGAATTGGGTAAATATTTGTAAAAACAGGAGCCTGAATGGCTTGGCGGTGGGGTGGGCGCGTGTATGTGATAGCCAGCAGGCACCTCAGTTTGGTGGCAGTCCCCTGCCGTGTGGTGGTGACTCTGCTGATAATCCAGATGTGCTTGCATTATCTGAATATTTGACTTTTGGCTCTTAACTTCCCTCTTGCTTCTCAAAATTGATCTAGTTTTGGTGTCTGAAGAGGAGTTATTAGAGGTATCTACTGGGAGGTGAACAAAACGACTTGCATTTTTAATTTCTAGCCCTTCTGCCCCCGGGAGTTTGGGCAGTGATGGGTAATAAGGGATTTTCTTTCTGATCCTGGCTTACTGTCAGCTGCATTTGCTCATGATTCATCATGATGCAGTCAGATCTCAGCTGTCCAGGTAAAAAGAGGCGAGGAGACACGCCTCACCCAGGACAGTGACTAAAACACGAATCATTCATTTGGCCTGGAAATCTGTTTCTCTACTGAGGAGACTGAAGCTTTTGCAATTTACCGCCCTTCTTAGGATCCCAATGAGGAAAAACATGCTGGGAAGTGATGAGTGAATGAGTCAGCCGGGACGGCCGGGTACTTGTCACAGGAATAGCACAACCGGGGGAGAGAAACACAACAGCCCTCTCCTTACAGCTGGCATTCTGGCGAAAGAGGAAATGAACCCACTTAACACAATGGAAAGAGAATTTAATTTAGTACTTAGTGTAAGGACTTAAGTTCAGTGACAGTTAAAGGCATGAATTGGTGTTTGGTGTGCCAGGCTTCTCCACAGAGAACCCTGCCGTTTTGAGAGCAGAGCTATTCCCTTCTCAGATTGGGGCCAGGGGCTTCTGTTCCCACAAGAAAATGTACTTTAGTACTTCTAACATGTATTACGAACAACCAGTGAGGCTTCTAGTAATCAGAACCAGGCTTCACCCATAGTAAGCACTCAAATAATTTAACTCTGGTTTCTTAGATGTAATTGCCTTGATTCCAAACGTGTACTATGCTTCAGCAGTCGGTTATTAAAGGGTGATTCTTCTGGGGCGGGGAGGGCTCACTTCACTGGGTTGGGCTGCCAGGTGATGCCCAAGTTATAGGTTTCATTAGGAAACCTGGTTTCCTTGTGTCCCTGACCTGGAAACTTGTTACAAATGCGAATTCTCAGACTTACTGATGCATTTGGGGTGGGCCCAGAAGTCTGTTGTCTCAGGCCCCGCCCAGGTTAGGGAGGCACTGCCGCTGGAGAGGGTGGGGGCTGACGCAAGGTTCAGGGCTGGCACCAAACAGAACAAACTCGGGAGAATCAGAGGCCGTGTTCCTAGAGCAAGACGAGCTTGGCCAGAAATCAGTAGATGTGGTGTGTGTCTTATTCTTCAAAACACCACGGGAATCGCACCCACGGGGCAGAGAGTGGACACAGCGCTAGTGAGACCCGCCAGGATGATAAGCTGCGAGAATACGGTTGGTTCCCAGACGCGTCCGCGTCTCTGAGCCACTTGGAGAGGTTTAGAAAGTTCTGGGGGTGTCACTGGCCTGGTGGAAGGCCTGGGCGGCCAACTTACAAAGTGCTCGATGCTGCCAGGGCAGTGAGAGCCGCTGACGGAGGTGCAGGCTGAGGGCCAACACCAGGGTGGAGGGAAGGAGTTCGGATGTGCTCTGGCTGTGAAAATGAGGCAAGGGCCGCACAGCGTGCAGAGCTTTTCACGTGAGGAGACAGCGCAGACAGGACGCAGACGAGCGTCCGGGCTGACCCCGTTGCGCAACATCTCAGGCTGCTACAGAGAGCCACCCTGAATGGAGCTCTTTCCAAATTCTGTCCCTCTCTGACTCACATTTCCTAACACGGGGTGGAGTGGGGGTGGGGGGTTGGGAGAGAAGGGAAAGTTAATGAATAATTTGGTTTAAAAATGTGTTATGAGTTTCAGGCTGAATGAGAAGTAAAAACTAAAATGATATGTTAAGTTGATGGCATTATGCATGGGGTTTTCTATTTCATAAATTTTTAGATGATGCATTTTTAGTAATTTTATGATATAATAAAAAGTTTCACCTTTTATAAAGGTTCAAAGGAAGAATAAACCAAGGGTATTCATGTGAATGGATCGGGCACAGGTAGGGGAGAGCTGGCAGTGGTGAGGTGGAGATGTGAGTGTAGCTTCCGGTGATGGAATGCTGACTGCACTGTCGCGGCTCGGGGCTCGGTGAAGGGCATGGCAAGGGGCATGGTGAAGGGCACGGTGAAGGGCTCGGTGAAGGGCATGGCAAGGGGCTCGGTGAAGGGCATGGCAAGGGGCACGGTGAAGGGCGTTGCACCCTTCACACACTGACCTCTGACCTGAGCGTTCCTTGGAGCGTCTTCCCTTGTGAAATGTGGTCACACCTCTGCTGGAGGGCTGCATCAGGCCAGGGTGCTTGAGGAATCCAAGGTGGTCGCCTCTGAGACAGCCTTTCTGCAAGAGGCACAAGGAGCCCTCGAGGGAAGGTGGGATTCAGAACTGTGATCTGCTCTCGTCAGTTCGGGCCTCGGGCCTGCCAGAGCTCTGCAGTCAGCGGTGACGCCAAATGTGGTCACACAGACACAAGGACAAGGTCATAGCTTCGTGACTCCTAGTTTCCACGTCACTTCTTTTATTTCTATCTCAGTGATTCAACTTCTCCGGAAAGGCCCCTTCTCACTTCTTCTTTAGTGGGCAGAGTTTGTTCACAAAACGATGCGTAGAATGGACTGTATATATTTCATACAGTAAAAGATATAACAGACGATATGGGTAAGATTGAAATGAGGCTTCATCGATTCCCTTATAAGGTTTACAATTTCCCCTGGCTTATATACTTTGAAAAGGTGTGACATTTATCAGGAGGGATTAAATCTCAGGAGCAAAGCCGGTGTGACGAAAGCTGCGCCTGAGCCACGGCCGGCGCTGCGCTGAGCTCGCCGCGTGCCTTTTCTAACCTAATGCTGTTGCCTTGCTATTGGCTGAGAACTCTGGCTGTCCTGCCCATAGGAAGCTGAGGCTTAGAGGCCAGGTAAATTATTTACAGTTACATACCCAGTAAGAAGCAAAGCTGGAAATTGAACCCAGAGTCTGAATCTAGACACTCTCTCTATTTTTTTATTTAAAGGTTTCAAACATATGCAATAGTAGAGAACAAAATAATGAACTTCTGTTACCTAGTTTTATTGGCTAATCCTGTTTTATTTAATTCCCACCCCTCACTACCCCCACCGAATTACTTTGCAATCAATTCCACATGTTGGCTGTAATACTTCAGTATGTATCTAAGAGACAGAATTCTATTTTTATTTAGAATTCAATTTTTCTATTTTATATATAACCACAACACCTGAAAAATCTTAGTTCTTTAATATCATTATCTATAGACTGAATGTTTATGTCCCCCCATATTCGTGTATTAGAATCCTAACCCCGATGTGATGGTGCCAGGAGGCGGGGCCTGTGGGAGGTGGTGAGGCCGTGAGGGCAGAGCCTCCTGAATGGCATCAGAGCTCTGATAAAGGGACCCCAGAGAGGTCCCTCGCCCCTTCCACTACATGAGGACACAGGGAGGAGACGGCGCCCATGAACCAGGAAGCGGGTCCTCAGCAGACCCCGAACCTGCCTGACCTTGGCCTCGCGCCTCCAGGACGGTGAGAAGTCCTTCCTGTAGTTCCTAAGCCACCGCCTGCGAGGTTAGTGTCAGAGCAGCGCACACGGACTGAGACACCGTCTAATATCCAGCCGGTGTTCGAAGTTCCCCAGTGTCTCCGGCATTTCGCCTCAATATTGGTTTGTTTGAATCAGGCTCTAAAGTACTTCTGTTGCCTCTGACTGTTATGTCTCTTAAATGATTTTTAATCTGGGTGGGTCCTACCCGCTCTTTTTTCTTTTTCTTTTTTTTCCCCTGATATTTAATTGTTGGAAAAAACTGGTTATTTTCCCAGCATAATTTGGTACATTTCGGATTTCATTTCCGTGGTGTCTTTTAACGTGTTCTTCTACCCCCCGCATTTCCTGAAAACTGTAGTTGTATATGAGGTTTGATCAGATTCAGGCCCATTTTATTAGGATAAAAAAACACTTCACAGCTAGTGCTGCATCCCTTCTACTGAGTCTCATAGAAAAGCACACAATTCTCTCTTTTTGTGACTTTGAGAGTGATCTGTGTTTTTAGCTGAGTATTATCAGCCATTATAGAGTTCCCATCAATCTTTCATTTAATGTCTCAACAGCTATTGATGATTGTTTTCTAGATTTATTATTTCATTAGGGGCTGAAAAATGGAGATTTTTCTGTCATTTCTTTGTATTTGTTAGCAAGATGTTTTATAAAGAAAAACTTCCATCACTTGTTTGATGTCCTAGTTCAGTAGAAGCAGGATAACTGCTTCCGGGACGAGGAATTAGTAACTGACGCTCTCCAGAGGTGCCCAGGGAAGTGCTCCCTGGACCTGACTGTCGCGGTGAGCTCCTGGGGTGTAAAGGTGTGTTTGATGTGTTTCCATCATCATCGTCGTTACCAGCTCTGACCAGGGAGCCCCTTCAGCCGGTTCCCATGTCCTTCTGACAAGACTCCAGGATGCTTTTGTAACTTCTGTGCTTTCTGCTATGACAAGATGCCTCAGGACCAACTTAAACATTTCCAGCCCTACCTAGATAGGTTTTTTTTTTAGAATACAGGCTTAGGTTTTTTATATAAAAATGTATACATTAACTCATTTATTATGACACATCAACTTTCTGACTTTATTTAGGGGAAACCCTTGCTATGAATATTTAGGTTTGTAAACT